AGTTGAAGTCCACTCATCTTAAAGTGGCCAAGTTTGGACAACACTGGTCTAAAAAGTCAAGATGGCAAGGCCCCCTTGCACACATACAATGCATGTAAAAAGGAGGCTCCAATCTTTGGGCCACCATTTTGACTTTTTTGTCACATGCCCCCTCGCCACAGATGCCCTCAGGCCAGAATGTGTTTTGCTTATTTGTGGCTTAGCCCAATGCTTGCCCTGAGTTGTGGTTTATTCAGTAAGCAGTATGCAATATACAATATGGGTGTGTGCTTGTAAACCTGAGAGAATAACGTTTCTGGCTTGGTAGGAACTACCAAGTTGGAAACACAGTTCTGTTCCTGCAGAGACCTTCCTGCTCTGGTGAATGGCCATGCTTGGAATAACTCAGGAAACAGCTCAGAAATGTTGGGACATTGTCCCATACAGCTTGAGGGGGACCCAGGCCGGGGGAGGCAGTATATAGAATTGTAGTCTAAACAGATCTTTGTAAACAGGAGGTGTGCAAGATACTAAAATAAATTATTTTCTGGGTCCCTTTTGAAGCCAACAGAAAAATCACCCCTGACGACCATCAGAAGTTTGCCAAACTGGTATCAAAGAAATGGAAACAGGTGGGCCGGTCTCTCTATCTGCAGACCAAATGTCGGGCCCTTCGGGACCCTCTCATTGACAACCTGGCCATCGAATACGAACGTGAAGGCCTGTATGAACAGGCGTATCAGTTGCTCCGCAGGTATATTGACTCAGAGGGCAAGAGGGCTACCATTCAGAGGCTGATTGCTGCCTTGGAGGACAATGGCCTCATCAGCCTAGCTGAAGAACTTTTGGGTCTCCACCAAAGTGACAATTTGCCATGAAGAAAAAAGAGAAGCTTCTTTCTGGGGACCACTAGCATTATGGCTGTATCATTGATCCTCCCACCAGTCTCTCAAGTGCACCTTATTCAGTCCCTGGTCAACTACAGTTTCTCCCTATGACTGGCTTCCCAAGAAGAATCAAGTCCAAAAGTCAAGCTGGAAGATCAAAGATGGTGTCAACAACAAATTGCAAGGGTTCTCTGGAAGCACAGTTCACCTTCTAATCGGATATGAAAAAGATGACCTCATCAGACACTGACAGGTTCAGGAGACCTTACAATACAGGTTTAACTTTGGAGTTCTCTTGGACTTCAAGAGGCCTTCTGAGTAATTGAGTAGGTCATTAGTTAAATAAAGAATAACCCAGAAATATTTTCATTTTTCACTCTCTGCAGAATCCAGTCATGATCTTTGTACGTGTGTGATTGAACATTATTCAGATTGGTCACTCACTCAAGGTTGGGAAATGTCTGATCCCCCAGATACCATGCAGTCCAGCAGATGGTGAGATGTTCCACACTCCTGACCTAAATAGATCAGTTCTATTATTTGAAGCTCTCAGAAATACTGTACTTTCCTCGAGGGGAGCCATTTCAGACCCCGAGCTGTGAGCTAGTGACTGATATGAGCTTAGTGAACTTGCCGTTGAAGGCCTCAAATGTTTCCATTGAAAGCCAGCTGAGGCTTCGAAGGCAGGGAAGACTTTGATAGACTCATTCATAAACACCTATAGTAACTTGAGTTGAAAATGCAAGTCTGAACCATCCCTGAGTAGCATTTACACAAACAGATTACTGTACACTGACATTTTGCACCTCTGAGTTATTCACAAGGGTCATTCTAAACAGTTTCTGTGACTTTTGAATCTTGTCACCACATTTCCTTCAAACAGGATGAGTCTCAGGTATTTTCTATAGCACTGCTATATTTTATTCAGTCGATTTTTTTAACAGCGACTGGATTTTTTTTTTGCCTCAAAACAAAAAAGCTTGGTCTGCATGGTTATGGTGTGACTCTTTTAAAGAGTTGAGCGGTAAATTCAGCACACGTTCACTTTAATCTTTATAGTTGCTGTCATTAATTGCTTGGTTCTCTTAGTCTTTTAATCAGCACTAAAATATCATGGAATAACATTTAAAGTTTTAGCACTATAACGCTGTATGCTAAATAAAATACTAAACGGTAATAATTTGACAATGATTAAAATCTCATTTCTTCCACATTAAAAAGGCACTAGAGCATGTAACACTATAATGCTATTTAAAAAAAAATCTGGGAGGGGAACTTTCTGAATCACTGCTTCTGTTTTGCTAAAATGTTGTGACTAAGGCTTTTTAAACCTTACTGTAAATTACTGTTAATGTTTAGAATCATATTCATTTAAGTGGTATTTCACTAATACTTAGTCATTCTTTTTAATTGGAGCTGTAATGTTGTTTGTTCTAATTAAAAGTGATTAAAAGGCAATAATATCAATATTAAAGAGAAGATATCCTGGGTACCCACCAGAGATTTTAATAAAGGTGTGCTAATATTCAAAATATCTTTTTGCCCCACCAAATCATGGACAGAATACAAGGAGGAAGAACATAAAAACAGAGTGAAACACCCTCATGGCGTAGAAAAATCAGTTATAATTCTGCTTGTAGCTCAACTGCTTAGAATTATTCATTATCCCCAACTGCCATCTATCTGGAAGGTTTAACCATTCTCTTTCAGCTGAGTTTCTTCAGGGAGGAATTTTTGGTTTGCTCTGAGACATAGATGTACAGTCTGGCACCCACGGGCATCAGTGTGCCCTGGGACATCTCCCTTCCAGGGCCCACCAAATTTGGACTAAGAGAATGACAACAAAAAGATGTTCTTCATTAAAAGAAAGCATAAATGGGAAGTTGGTCTGCCAAAGCCTTCAACCACCAACTTCATTTCAATTTGCGAGATACCCTGCAGGTTGCAAACAGCACAGAGGGTCACTCCAGGGACACCTTGCATTGGGACAACCGCTGCAGAAGCCATTTTGTGGTGGTGCTTATAATTGTCTGCCCTGTAAGACAGGCCAGGTCAAGAACTAGAATTCCAGGAATTCCACTTTAATGTTGGATATAATAACAGAATCTTGAAAGCCTGCCAGAGTTTCCCCCTGCCCACTCTTACACCAAACAGAATCAAGTGGGGTTATCTTGAGTCTCTTTCTCACCCTCCCGCCTTTCCCGGGGCTGAACTGTCATTTCCTTCCTCTTAATGGCACCTGCATTCCTTCATCAAGGTCATCTCCTCGTTTCTCTACAATAATCTCATCAAACTTCAAGAGTTCCTACCGGTCCAGAAGAGTTATCTATCCCTGAAATAAAGGCTGTCTTTGAACAGATGAACAGTTTTCTCTAACGTGGGCCACATGGCCATCAAAATGCTAAGAATCAACATTCTGGTCTCCATGATACAAGTCTGGGAACTTTCTTTGGAGTGGGAAGGCAGATTGTGCCTTCTCTGGAGATACATTTCACACCCTTCAATTCTAGATGTGTCACCAGCCCTACAAGGCTTCCTGAACTGCCTCTGAGTCACCTTTCAATCTAGAAGTGGGTCACCTGCATGGAGAAGGCCTCCTTTGGTATTCTTGATACATCCATCCACAAATGAGAAGGTTTGGGGAAACTTTGAGATGCACATTTTTTAAAAAATTGGCAAGATGGTGATACAGAGGGGGGATGGTGGCCTTCAAACCAAGACTGCAGAACGAACAAACAAATCCAAACACCCAAGGTTCTACTTTAATCAATCGGCTTTAGCGCCTTGAATGAAAATATTGGTCCATGTGATTGTTTAAGTGGTGAGCCAAAACAGTTCACTAGGTTAAAGGACCAAAATCAGCTTTGGGCACAATTTAGTGAAAAACAAAAATAAGAAGTCCTCTGAAATTATATGAATAAAAGCCAATTATGGGTTGGTTGGTTTGTTTAAGGAAAACATTTTGAAAGCTGAATCCAGCTATCCCTGATCAGATGCCCTGCAAATGCATTAGGACTACGGTTCCCCAAATTTCTCCTTCATATGACCAATCACCAGGCTTACTAGGACTTCTGGGAGTTGTAGTCTGAATACACCTGGAAGGTACCAAACTGAGGAAGACGGGGCTAATGAAAGGAACCACTGTAATTGGGAACGTCAACTTTGCTCTTTGCAAAAGTAAAACAATGTCAAAATCTTTCAGCAAATCTTCCTGAAACTTTTGTCCAAAGATAGAAACCACCTTTTGTTTTTCTGTCTCATTAAAATATTGTCAAGTGCTGAGTGGCACTTTTGAGCTTAGTTTATTGTTGCAAAGGAGCAGAGTAAGCCAGCATTGTGGGTTTTCTGTTACATGGTTCTTGTGTCACACTACAGAGTCCCTGGCCACTGAAAGACAGACTAGGGAAAACCCCCAAACACAAGCTTTTGTTTGTACAACACACTGAAATTAGTTCCAAAATGTGCCTACCTTTGCAGTTCACACAATTCATCGACTCCATTAAGCCACATAAAAACTGATCTGAGTTTAAAAATAACCAAGCTTTTAACTAAGATGTCAGAATTGCACCAGAAGGAATTCACTTTTTTTTAAATGCTCTTTTGAGAATAAAAATGGAAAATGCTTTTTCCATTAAAGTGAATAAGAATGGTTGGGGAGCAAATCAGAGGTAATCATTTCAGCAGCAGAAAAGCAGTATTTTTAGTATTTACTTAGATGCACAAGTATGGATGGCTGTCATCCAAGAACTAACCAAAGCAGTGTTTTTCAAACTTGGCAACTTTAAGATGTGTGGACTTCAACTCCCAGAATTCCCCAGCCAGTCATGCTGGCTGGGGAATTCTGGGAGTTGAAGT